AATGCTGAGCATGGTCTTCCCTTTTGGTTCTCTAACTCCAGATCTTTGCGTATTTCATTATGCTGATTGGCTTTGTCTTCTTGAGCTGCTCTTTGAAACCTTCTCTTCAACTCTTTTATCCTGTTGATTCTTCCATCTGCTTTAGCTACTCTCCATTCAAGGGCAAGTTTCAGAGTCTCTTCTGACATCCATTTTGGTCTTTTCTTCTTTTCTCATCTTTTTAATGACCTCTTGCTTCCTTCATGGATGATGTTCTTGATGTCATCCCATAATTCCTCTGGTTTTCAGTCATTGATGTTCAGTGAATCAAATCTGTTCTTTAGATGGTCTCTAAATCCAGGATGGATATATTCAAGATCATATTTTGGCTCTTGTGGACTTATTTTAATTGTTTTCAACTTCAAGTTGAACTTGGAGTTGATGATCTATTCCACAGTCAGCTCCTGGCCTTGTTTTGACAGAAGATATTGAGTTTTTCCATCACCTCTTGCCACAGATGTGGTCAGTCTGATTCCTGTGTATTCCGTCTGGCAAAGTCCACGTGTACAGTCGCTGTTTGTGTTGCTGAAAATGCATTTGCAATGGATAAGTCGTTGGTCTTGCAAAACTCTGTCATGCAATCGCCAGCATTATTTCTGTCATGCAATCGCCAGCATTATTTCTGTCACCAAGGCCAAATTTTCCAATTCTCTGTGATTCTTTGTTTCCAACTTTTTCATTCCAGTCACTAGTGATAATTAACACATCTTGATTGAACGTTCAGTCATTTTCAGGCTGCAGAAGTTGATAAAAATCTTCAGTTCCCTCATCTTTGGCTTTAGTGGTTTGTGTATAAATTTGAATAACAGTCATATTAACTGGTAACATATCTTGTAGGCATATGGATATTATCCTATCACTGACAGCATTGTACTTCAGGACAGATCTTGAAACATCCTTTGTGATGATGGATGCCCGCCATTCCTCTTCACATTGGCATTCCCAGCATAGATAATATGATTCACAGTGGCCAAAATCAATCCATTTCAGCTCACTAATACCTAGGGTATCAGTCTTTATGTGTTCCATTTCATTTTTGACAACTTCCAGTTTTCCTAGATTCATACTTTGTACATTACATGTTCTGATTATTAATGGATGTTTGCAGCTGTTTCTCCTCAAGTTGAGTCATGCCACTTCAGCAAATAGAGGTCTCAAAACTTTTTTTTTATCCATATCAGTAAGGTTGGTCCTATTCTGATGATACAGCTCTTTCCTAATCTATCTTGAAAGCCTTCTGACCTAAGGGCTTGTACTCATATACTGTATCAGATAATGTTTCCGGGCTATTCATAAAGTTGTGCAGTAATGTATCAGACAGTGTTTCTCTTCTATTCATAAGGTTTTCACTGGCCAATTCTTTGAGAAGTGGATTGCTTCTTCCTAGTCTGTCTCAGTCTGTAAGCTGCATTGAAACCTGTGCACCATGTGCACCCCTGCTGGCACTTGAAACACTGGTGGCACAGCCTCAAGCCTCACAGCAACATGCAGGCACAACAGTAGGACAAACTGACAGACAAGTTTGTCTCCCTTAGCTGTTCAAAACCTCTCCGCCCTCCCCTTACCTGGATCCCTGGCGCTGCTCTGCTCTGTTGTCCCCCTGGCTTCTCTTTCCCCTACCTTCCCGCCTACTGGGGGTAGGGCCTGAGTCCTCCCCTTACCTGGATTCTTGGCTGCTGCTCTGCTCTGTCATCCCCTTTGGCTTCACTTTCCCCCGTTTTCCTGCCTAGTAGAGGTGGGGCCTGGGTCCCTTCCCTTACCTAGATCCCTGGCTGCTGTTGTGCTCTGTTGTCCCCATGGGCTTCGCTTTCCCCCACTTTCCGGAGGCCTTAAAATAGAGCCGCCCCTAAGTGAAAAGCAGCACTCAAGCCCCCCAGCCCACCTACCTTGGGCCCCAGCCTTAAAATAGAGCTGCCCCCAAGCGAAAAGCAGCCCCCAGCCTTAAATAGTACTTTGCTTATCTGAGATTTCTTTCCTTTCCATATCAAATTAGTGATTAGTTTTTCTGTATCCTTAAAGAATGCTGATGGAATTTGGATTGGAATTGCAGTATGGTGATTCTCTTCATATCACTAACGGCACAGTTGGAGCTCTGGTGGTGTGTAGTACCTAAGCCATTTGACTGCTGACCTGAAGGCTGGGTATTGAAATCAACTTGATGGATCGTGAAAAACATTTTAATGCATTTGAATAGAAAATTAGAATGAATGTCAGAGTTGGTTTGGTTCAGGAATCCAGTATGCACTGGATGTATGTAAATTATGTTCTTACCATTGATTGTGGTCACAGCTGTTAGAAGACCTGAAATGCATTCTGAGGAGACAGCAAAGGACAGAAAGAGGATTCCAAGTCCCCCATGCTCTCACACGTCATGACAGCCCTTGGGGACCTTCTGTTTTTTTTACCCTCTTTAGGCTTTCTGTTTGCCATACACGCAAAACCAATACTTTGTCAACTGTTTCTGGCTGTGGTGGTTATGAAGATGGAGTCTGTCTGGCACAGTACTGGGTGCGTGACCCATGTAGGTAGATTATCTGCCTCTTTGAGGTGGAGTTCTTGCACGTTGCCTGTAAGTCTCTGCGCAGAGAAATGCGCACAGATGATTGCAGGAGGTTTGGTGGTTCAGATCCTCTCACCAAAGGACAGTTTGTTAAAAGTCGTTTTTACTGTTTTGTAGGGAGTCTCCGCTTCTGGTTAGTGAGTTTAGGAAGATGTTCTGATTTTCATGATCAGATACCAGTTTCAATTTTTAAAAAATAATTGTTTTTGTATTTTTATCAAATTAGTGCTGTATGGTTTCTAAAATAGTGCAGAGGGGCCTGTGACGGAGAGCAAGCCGCTGGCCCTCACTCAGTAGCTTCTGGTGCCACTCTCCTAAGCAGCCAGTCATAACTCTCAATGGTTCTGTGTTAAGGTCTTACGGTGATTCTTTTATTAAAAAATACATTTTATTGAAATATAATTCATGTACAGTGAAATATACAAAACTAAAAGGAAATGGATTGATGCACTTTTTTTTTTTTTTTTGCAGTGTTACCCTCCCTCCCCTCCCCTGGTAACCAACAAAGAAAGTTTCCTTCCATATACAAACCTTTCCTTGACTTTTTACAATAATGAACTAATGTCATATTTGTCCTTCTGTGATTGACTTATTTCACTCAGCATAATATCCTCCAAGTTATCCATGTTATATGGTGTTTTACAGATTTTCCACTATTCTTTAGTGTTTTGATTTGCATCCTCTGATGGCTAATTATCGTGAGCACCTCTTCATGTATTTGCTGGTAGTCTGAATATCCTCTTTGGTGAAAAGTGTCTGTTCATGTCTTCTGCTCATTTTTTAATTGGATTGTTAATCTTTTTGTTGTTGAGGTATTGGAGTTTTCGTTAAATTTTAGAGATAAGTCCTTTGTTAGATATTTCATTGCTGAGTATTTTTTCCCAATCTGTAGCTTCTCTTTTGATTCTTTTGGAGAAGTCTTTAGAAGCACATAAAAATTTAATTTTTAGAAGGTCCCATTCATCTAGTTTATCTTCAGCTGTTTGTGCATTTTGGGTTATGCTTGACAGTCTATATATCCCATAAATCAGGGCCCCTAAATTTGCCCCTAGTTTTTCCTTGAGGAACTTTATAGTTTTAGGTTTCACGTTTAAGTCTTGGATCCATCTGGAGTTGGTTTTTGTGTATGGTGTGAGGTACGGATCTTGTTTCATTTTTCTGTAACTGGATATCCAGTTTTGGGGCACCATTTGTTAGAGAGACCATCTCTTCCCCATTTAATAGATTTCAGCCCTTTGTCAAAAATCAGCTGACCATAAGTCGATGGATCTATTTCTGGGTTTTCAATTCTACTCCATTGGTCTGTGTGTCTGTCACTGTAGCAGTATCAATCTGTTTTGACTACTGTGGTTGTATAGTACATTTTGAGATCTGAGAGTGTGAAACCTCCTACATTGTGCTTCTTCAATAGTGCTTTGCTTATTCGAGGTGCCTTTCCTTTCTGTATAAAATTAGTGATTGGTTTTTCAATATCCTTAAAGAGTGCTGATGGGACTTGGATTGGGATTGCATTATGGTGATTGTTTTATATCACTAACACCACAGTGGAAGCTCTGGTGGCTTAGTGCCTAAGGCATTTGACTGCTAACCAACCAGAAGGCTGGCAGTTCAAACCCATGAGCCACTCCTCAGAAGGAAGACTGGACAATATACTTCCGTAAAGATACTGCCTTGGAAACCAAGGAGGGGTCACTGTGAGTCAAATTAGCTTTTTAAACGCCACAGTGTTTTGCTTTACCAACTTTAGACATGACTTCCTGATTTCTGATGATTCTAGAAGGAATTAGCTCATTTGTGTCATCTCAAGCCTTCCTCCTCCTCCCTCCCCTTCCCTGCAGTGTCACTGTGAGTTTTGTTTTCTTGTCCGTCAGTGTCAGCATCGGTGAACTCTTCTTTTCATATGGTAGGTAAATTGTACCCTTCCCCTGTATTGTCTCTTTTTGCTTGTCATCACAGCTTCTACTTCCATGTCCTCATGCTTGTACTCAATTGCCAGTCTTTCATCAACTTCTCCTCTTCTTGACTTCAGTATGTTTTAACTGGGTATTGGAGTAGGAAGCAAACACAGTTCATCTACCAGATTTCACTTGTTGTTGTTACGTGCCATCAAGTTGGACCCGACTCATAACAACCCCTCCTTGGGTTTCCGAGGCGATACCACTACAGAAGTAGATTGCCCACCCTTCCTTCCAAGAAGTGGCTGGTGGATTTGAACTGCTAGCCTTCTGGTTAGCAGTCAGATGCCTTAGGCATTATGCTACCAGAGCTCTTAGTATCTGCATATATAAGGTAGTCTTCGTGTTATGTATGTAAAGATTTATTACATCGATAAGGAGTAAATATGTTGATTTCTAAAAAGACTTTTTCCATTTCTGAAGTCCTGTAATTTTTTACTTTGCAGGTGCGGAAAACATTTTTCACCTTAGCGTTCTGTGACTTCTGTCGAAAGCTGCTTTTCCAGGGTTTCCGCTGTCAGACATGTGGTTACAAATTCCACCAGCGCTGTAGCACAGAGGTTCCGCTGATGTGCGTCAATTATGACCAACTGGAGTAAGTAACTGGAGTGCCTTTTTCTCTGGACCACTTACATCTGAAACTTCTTGGTGTGAAACTAGTATGTCTTAAAGTCTGAGGGACGTTCCACCTGGTACATTTGTTACAGGCAGTTAAAGAAAGACAGTGCATAGTACAGCCAGTTCCTCTCTCCCAGATTCTAATTCTGGTTCAGCCATGCATGTAATTTATAGTTTACGTTCTCTTTGAATTAATAAATACCCCTCAGTATAGAAATCATGTTGGGGTCCTTTTTTGGTGGAGAGGGAGAGTTGTTTCAACTAAATTAACCATGATATTTTTGGACCACATCTCAGGGCCCTGATTCTTGTTTTTTTTCTCTTTTTCTCTCTTCCTTCCACCCCTCCCTCCCTCTTCTTTCTCCCCCTTCTACACCCAGTTTATTAAAAGTAAGACATAAGATCTTTGTTTCCAGTGTGTCTCTTTCTAAAATTGCTCTTTGCTTTGTGCCAGAGTTTCTGTCATAGATTGGGCCGAGGGTATTCTAATCTTTTCTGTGATGGTGCTCCTGCTGCTGTTGAAATCTTACTGTTTGTCTTGATCGCTTGAGCAGATAGAATTCAACTCTGTACTTTAGCGGTAAATTGTAGCAATATTCTCTAACTTAGCAGTAAGCACTTTTAGTTCTAGTTCCTTAACCATGACGATTGATTCTCTCTAATATTTAGAACTTTGCTGTGTAAAAGAGCTCATTTTAGATTCTGAGCTTGCCTTTGAAAATACCATATACTTTATTTAAACAAGCCTTTAACCAGAAGTACAGCTACATAATCGAATTTTAACAATCATTTCTGAAAATGGAATGTCATCCCTGAGTTTTCTGTTGGCTCTATAATGTGTTCCGTTGTATGGAGCTTCTGGGTTTTGCCCAAGTTAGGTTTGTTTTGTTTTGTTTTTGTTTTTACCTCACAGTTTGCTGTTTGTCTCCAAGTTCTTTGAACACCACCCCATCCCGCAGGAGGAGGCCTCCTTAGCAGAGACTGCCCTCGCGCCCGGATCGTGTCCTCCCGCGCCTCCCTCAGACTCTCTCGGGTATGGTTTGACTTGTGCTTTGCAGTCCCATGCTATTTGAGCTGCTTTCTTCTGGATTTTTGGTTAATTTTAAACCTTCCTAACATGCAGACTGCTGAATTCAGAATTTTATTCAGGTAATTTATTTTACAGTGCCAGTCAGATCTTTTCACACATTTGGTGCTGATGATGGGATTGAAGCTGACAGAGTCGGGACCAGTCCTGACTAAATCAGCCGACAGGCTGTCAGGGGCCACTGTGCTCAGCCCTTCTGAGGGGCTGTCAGCTGTGCAGGGCTGTGAGTTCCATTTGGAAAAGTGGCCTTCACATATGATGCATGGCCAACAATTAAAAATCCTTTGTAATCAGTAATATCTGATGGAGTGTACTACACTGCGCGATAAGGACATAAATGTTACCATGTCTCCAGGAGAAGAGAGATAGAGAGAAAGAAAGCGAGAAGTCAGGCACACGTCACGAAGGGGCCTCGGAGAAAAGAGAATCGGAATGAACCAAGTGAGTAAAAGCCTAGTGTTTGCAGGAGGGGAGGACGGAGCCTGCTCTGAGTCCAGGAGCACCACTTTGGGACAAGGGGGGTTATGAAGAGCTCTGCAGTTCAGAATGGAATTTAGACTTGACCCAGGAGGGGAAGGAAAAAAAAGTATGGCATGTGTTCGAGGCGGCCCAGCCTGCTGAAAGGGTCTGAAAGGAGTCACTTGCTGTGCTGTGCAGATGAACCCATGGAGAGAAGTCTGAGGGGAAGATGGCTCCATGGATGCTCTTAGCAGTGAGGACAGTGAGTGGCCAGAAGGACGAGGTGAAGCAGCAGTGATGCAGAGAGAAGGGGTGGTATCCTGAACCATGAGAGGGAGAACTAAGAGGATTTACTAAACAGTATCAGAGAACTAAGAGGATTTACTGGGACGAGGGGTAGGGTCCTGAACTAAGAGTGTTTACTGACGAGCTGTGGAGGATCAAGCAGGGAGAGGCTTTCAGTACAACCCGAAGACACAGTGTACTCAGACGTCCATTCTAGGGAGAAGGGTGCTGGGGGTGGCTGAGTGGCTGTGCGTTTGCTTTGGAGCATTTCTCGCTCTGCTCCGCTCACTCTTCCCTCCTGAATTTGGAGCAGCATGAATTACACTGTATTTGGTTTTTAAAAAGAGTCCCCATACAGCATTTGGTTTTAGAATATTCCAGAGATAAATTGTCATGATGAGAAACGTTAATTATTAGTTTTAACCCCACTTTCTCTTCACAAGGAGCTCCGGTGGCATAGTGCGTAAGGCATTTGACTGCTAACCAGAGGGTCAGCAGTTCAAACCCACCAGCCACTCTGTGGAAGGAAGAGTGGGCAATCTAATTCTGTAAAGATTTACTGCCTCAGAAACTCAAAGGGGGGTTACTCTGAGTCGGAATTGACTCAATGTAGTGAGTTTGGGTTTTTGGTTTGTCTCTTCACAATGCATGTTGTTTCTGTAGGCTCCTGCCATGAGCTGTGGTCAGGTGCCGTGGAGTCGGTGGTGACTCATGGTGACCCCGTACCCAGGAGAACACAGCCCTGCCGGGCCCTGCACCATCCTCACAGTCATGGCTGTGCCTGAGCCCTTGTTGCAGCCGCCGTGTGGTCCTCTTGGTGAGGGTCTTCTCCTTTTGCTGACCCTCTGCTTTACCAAGCATGAGCCATTACAGAAAAAGAGCTTGGCTCTCCATTAGACCTGTGATTTTACAAAGCAGCCTTCCTGGTGGTGAGGCCGTTGGAGGTCTCATAGGCTAGAAACTTGGCAGAAGAGTTTTGGATTAAGGTGTGGTTTCGGAACACTGGAAAGGCAGCCGCTCTGCTCCCACCCGACTGTGACAGATCTGCATGTGGTGGAGTGGAGCCATTCCATCCCAGCCGGCTCTGGTTCAGTGCGTGTGGCTGTGTGCACCAAAGATGAAAGCAGAATGGAGGAGTTCTGTGGCTGGTGGGTTGTTCTTTAACTCATCCTTTGGCTGTGACGTTTGCTTCTGACAGCGTAGGTGTGCTGTGCTGCCTTTCTGATGGCAGGCGTGGTTCTGGGCACAGGCTTACAGAGCACCCCTCCGAAGACCTACAGTGGTGATGAGCTGGGACCACAGTCTCCCATGAAGGAATGCCGTAGCGTGATTCAGAGACCGTCTGCCTATGCCATGCGTATTTCATTTCATTTCTAAAACTGAAGTAGGCTCTCCAGTCTTGAGTGGATGACCAGAAAGATGCCCAAACTGTTCTCGAGGCAGAGTCTTCCTGATGCTTTTATGTCGCAAGTGTGTGCGGGTGCCTGTGGACGGATACAGGCCAGTCTTGTTCAATAGTGAGATCCCTTTGTGTTTTGCTCATAGCCTGGATAACAGTGACGGTGATAGTGAAGCAAGGTCCTGGTACCTGTAACCAGCAAGTGTTGGGTAGCGGTGCTTTGCCCAGTTTTAAGTGAACAGTTGGTGGCACCGCCTTCTCTGCTTCTGAAAGTGCCGCGGTCTCCTGGAGCGGGCCTCTGCGGAAGGGCCAGCATTTCGGTTCACGCATCACTGAGCACAGGTACTCGCGTGGCTTCTTAACTATTCTGGATGGAAAAGGAGACCTAAACTCATTGGTAGTTTCCTGAATGGTATTAGAGGTAAAATTCCTTTTGTTTTTATTTAGTACTGATGAGTTGTAAAGAGGTTTAAAACAAGATAAGTGAAGATATCACTGGGAGAAAGGCTCTTGGCTGATTGCCAAGATACTTCACAAGGTATCAATTACATCCATCCAGGTAACAACACCCAGTGTAGGAACTTGGGAACTCGACTTTATCAGTCCCCAGAAGTGATGAGGATTGTGGATGTCTTGGTTTCTGTTAACCCAGATCAGAAAAGACTGAATCAGCACTCCAGCCGTTCATCTCAGGGCGAAGCACCTGTGTGCAGCCTTCCTGGGTGAGCTGGGAGAGTAGTCACTCCACTTTCCTTTGTGGGGAAACACAAATCCGTCAGGTTGTTTTTGTTAAGCGTGAGTTCGACCAGGAAAGTGGGTTGGTATTGTTTATTATTATAATATGTCATTGCCCTTGGTTGGTGAACTTGGGTGCCTGGGCACAGCTTCCTGGGTGCTGGTCCACGAGCTGCCAGCTTTGGCCTTTCTGACTTTGTGGCCTGTGCAGATGTCTCCACTTTGTGGTGGATGCAGCCTTTTCTTGAGATCGGATTGTGACCTTTTCGGGTGAAATCCAGGTGCTTGTTTCTGCACCAGCACCCTGAGCTCCACACGCCTGGTTTGTACCCACTCCATGTTGCCTCCACAGTCCTAACACGGAAGGTTCAGGAGAGGTGATACTGCCTCTCCTGCCTGCAGCGGATTTGTTACTGTTAATTAGGCGGTCTGCACTGCGCAGTTACATCTGGCTCTTGTCCTTGTAAGTCCTGACCTGAGGCGCTTTTGCCTTGAGACTTCAGAGCAGCCTGCGTGGTTCACAGTCAGTGCACTCCCTGAGCCTTTTCTGTTAGGTCAGTGCTATCGTTACTGCTTCTGCACTCTCTCACCTGGACCTTGAATCCCTTGGCTAATGGCATATAAAGACTGTTGTGTCCCAAAACCGAAATCCCCCCTCTCTGGGTGGAAAAGACCAGAAGGACAGGCAGAACGTGCAAATGTTTGTGAAGGCCGTTTCGCACGTCCAGAATTGCCACTGTACTGATTTCAATTTCTTTTAAGTCTATGGTATTTTATCACCTGCCTATCAATTCTCAATGGCTTCATTTAGTTAATACACACAGATGAAGTCAGAATGTCTCTCTTTATTCCCAATAATGTCCTTCAATGAAGTAAAAGGAAAGCTGTTCACATGAGTAATACTCAGATCTGTTAGCACACTTTATGCAGAAGGTCTGTGTCACTGTTTGCCTGCCTTTGCTCTGTCCACAACCTTCCAGCTACACTAGTCTCCCATTCTTCTCCCTCACAGATCTCATCAGTCCTCGATGTTATCTCCCTGGTTGTCACAGCGTTTACAGAGGATGGGATGGACCACTAACTGACATGAGGGAGAGGCTGGCGGCACAGCCTTACTCACTGGGCCTGATGGAGTGCTCTGAGCCTACTCCCGAGGGCAGCCCTTCTTGGGACCCCCAGCACTCGAAGTGCTTGCCCCCACTTCTCAGAGCTGGAATGTTCTCTGAGTGCCAGGTCCCGGGGGGGGGGCAGTGAGAGACCACAGACTTTGTTATTTGTCTGCAGTACCAAAATCGGTTGCTCTATAAACTGTTTTCGTGGTTTCATCAAAAATCAGTTTTTAAAAACCCTGGCCTTAATGTCTAATATGCTGCATGTGTCTCTGGTGTCAATAGTTGGGCATAGCAGAAATTTCAGGGTGTAAGTGACGCTGGTGATGTGGGATGTCTTCGGAGTTTGGAAGCGGTCTTATGCTCTTGCTGACACTTCAGAGACTGGTGTAAAGCACTGGGCGAATCTTCAGATCCTAAAACACTCGTGTGTTCTTAAAGTATTTCTTATATTTTCCATAACATTCTCATTTTAGTAACTTCAGATATCAAATGGCAAAGTAAGAAAAATGGCAGATTGACTTTACTCGTTCTCTGCCTAGAGCATCTCTGTGTAACTTGAAAGGACAAGAGCTGCTTCAGCTGAGTGGGCATCACTCCTCGCTGGTCATGTGCAGATGCCCTGAGACTCTGGACATGCAGCCGTGCTCTTACCAACTGGAGTCCCTGTGGGGCTGCTTGAGTAGAGCGGCCATGTTGGGATTAGTTGTAGGTGTGCGTTAGGTTTTTAAAACTGTGCTGCTGGATTATTACTGCATCTTTAATGCTTTAATTTTCAAGATTTTATTTGAGAATATAAAAGCCAGGAAAGCATTCTGTGATCCGCTGTGATCCATTTTTCTATTAGTAGCTCTATGCCAAGTTGCTCTGAATCTTACCTTCCAATGACTTGATTTTTCCAGGTCCCAAATTCTCACCAGCCCGTCTCCTTCAAAATCCATTCCAATTCCACAGCCCTTCCGACCAGCAGATGAAGACCATCGAAACCAATTTGGGCAGCGAGACAGGTCCTCCTCAGCCCCCAATGTGCACATCAACACAATAGAGCCGGTCAATATTGATGTAAGTATTGGGGGTTGTTCACACTGAAACCCTCGAGTGTATTTCTCTGTTGGCGTGCTACATTTATGCTGTAGGCCAGAAAGAGGTGCCCTCTTCATCTATCACAGTTATTATAAGTGATGACTTCCTGAGTCACAGATCAGAAAAGCCTCGTTAGTCCTCTCAGATGGCATCACATACTTAAAAACCAGTGAAACAAACCCATTGCTGTCGAGTCAGTTCCAAATCATAGCAGCCTTATAGGACAGAAAGGAACAGTTGCACAGGCTTTCCAAGGCTGTAAGTCTTTTCAGAAGCATACTACCACATCTGTCCCCGCCAGATGCTGGTGAGTTGGAGCCACCAGCCTTTCCGTTAGCAGCCGACTGCTTAACCACTACACACCAGGGCTCCTATCAGATACTTACCTTATTCCAAGTTATAGGGTCACCGTCATAACTTTTCCTTATGATATCATCTCCATGAAAGTCTTGTCCTTGTTTATGTAACAGACAAGCCAGTTGGCCATATTGTGGTGAAGAAAGAATAAGTATACAGTGTGCGGGTTCAGTGGTCTCATATTTGGACCATTAGAAATCTACCTAAATATCCTAAAAGCACAATTTAGATGGAATTAAATGCATGCAGACTGGTTATCACGTTCCTAATACCATGTACCGTGTTTATGCTCCTGAGCAGACCATTGTGTTCCATCCTGGGCACAGCTTGAGTTCTGCCATTTTCTTCCTCTTGTGTGAAGTTTGTCATTAAGTTTTATGGATTCTTTCTTTAAATTGTGTCTGTTCTTAAGCCTTCCCACCATTGTTTACCGTCATCTCATCTCTTGAGTTCCTTTAGCCCTCTTCTGACCAATCATTCTTGACTTTCTTTTTCACTTTTCCAGTTTATCTTGCACATTGTAACTTAGTTATGTGCTGTTTTAGATGTGTTTATTTAAATTAGTATCACTTCTTCAGCTACATCTTAAGTCTTGAATGGCAGGAACCATTGCTAGTATAGTTCCCTAGTATAGAACTAAACCTGCATGAAGTAGAGGACCAAACCAGGTGCCAATGAGTGAGTCCAACTCCTGGTGGTCTTGGCGTGTCAGAGTTAGGACTGTGTTGTGTGGGGTTTTCAGTGGCTCATTTCCCCCAGAAGGGTGCCGGCCTTCCTTCCACAGCGCCTTTGGTGCTGTACCACCCAGGGACTCCACTCAGGGGCTCCACCCAGGGGCTCCACCCAGGGGATCCAGACACATACTAAACTCACTGTCATGGAGTCGGGCCCGACTGTACCACCCAGGGGCTCCAGACACATACTAAACTCACTGCCATGGAGTCAGGCCCGACTGTACCACCCAGGGGCTCCAGACACATACTAAACTCACTGCCACGGAGTTGGATCTGACTCATAGCAACCCCTCCTTGGGTTTCCGAGGCAGTATCACTACAGAAGTAGATTGCCCAACCTTCCTTCCGAGGAGTGGCTGTGCATTTGAACCACCAGCCTTCTGGTTAGCAATCAAGTACTTTAGGCACTACACCACCAGGGTTCCTAGACACATACTAGGTTATCAAAAAATATTTACTTGTTTCACTAAAAGGCTTAGAAGAGGAAGCAGAGGAAATCTCTAAAGTAGAGTAGGGGTCAGCTACTTTTTCTTAAAGGGCCAGGTAGTAAACATTTTAAGCTTGCAAGCCACCTGGTCATTGCCACAACTACTCTACTCTGCCACTGTTGTGTGAAAGTAGCCACAAATCAGGAAATGGGCATGACTGTGTCCCAGTACAACTTCCATAAAAACAGGTGACCAGGCCACTGTTTTTTCTAACCTTTGATACAGACAAAGACAAGGAAGAGATGAGTAAAAAGATGAGACATACAGGATCAACCCTAAAGGGCTAGTTTGGCTCACCCAACCATCTAGCTCACTGAGTGACAGAGCTGTGGTGGGCTGGGTTCTCATCTTGGCATGAGGGGTCATCTCTGCCCAAAGCTGTGCTTTAGCATGAAGACAATGGGTCCCCTGTATAGGAACAAAGGTGAGACCATCGTGAAGTCTGCTTGTCTTGCCAGTGGAAACTCTGTCCATGTGCAGGCAGGAATCTGGGGTTGTGAGGTGGCTGTGGTGTGCTGGGAGGCAGGGGTGGACCTCACCGTACAGTGCCCTGACGAGTCCTCACAGGGGGGAGGTTGGGGAAAGAAGTATAGACTGTCATCACAGGAACATACCCACCAATGAACAGACTTCTTTAATATCGCCCCTCACTCCCCCGCCCCATTGAACTCCAGCCTGCACCTCAGCCCTGTGACATCCATCCCCAAAATTTTTGTGGAAACACAGACCGATTGCACATCTGATCCTGACCAAAAAAGGATGTCAACACACCACTGAGAAATGAGGGCACAGCAGCTTGTCCCGTTAGCAGCAGAAGAGAAGATGGCCACTTAGTGGGCTCTTCAGACAAGGTGACTTCCAAGCCCCAGGAGTCACTGATGCCCTCAGTGCAGTGAGGATGTCAGCTGGCGTGTTGACGGAGGACGACAGCGGTGCTTTAAGAATGAATGTGAAGCCGCAAATCTCCATAGTACCGTCACACATCTGTCACAATGACAATAAAAACTCCATTCTCTCTGTGTTTATTCTAAGAATTGACACGTAGTTGAAATGGTAACTTAAATTTTGTTAACTGTAAAAGAAAATAAGCTTCATTACAAAATCTAGTTTCTTCTTCCAAGGTGAATTCTCAAATCAGTCTTCTTCCCGTTTTTACTATGAAATTTTGTCTCTTTTTTTATTGGGTTCATTTTAAGTGACCTTTTCTTCCTCCCAGTTTTCCTCAGCTAATCAGGCCCTCCTCTCTCTAGCTAGAGCTGACACAAAGAAAGACGTAGAAGAGGGGAATATGGGAATGAGGAGATGGTGGAATAAGAACTCAAACCCCATTTCCAGGTTAAGTCTGTTCTCAGGATGTCCAAAATGGTAACCTTCATCTTGACTTTCAAAACTAACATCTCTTTAGACTGTTGCCCTTTTTCTCATATGTGACCACTGTTCTCCTGGTCTTTTAGGGTTGAACATGTAGAACATCAGCTGGGTAGCTTGCTTTTCTTATCTTCCCCATAACCAGACAGTGACAGAGGGGATCTCTTCCTTTTGCTGTGCTCCTCACAGCTGTCCCTTACTTCTGCCCACCACCACGTGAGCCCTGGGTCTTCACTTGACCTGCACGCGTGTTCGTCTTGGAGTTTCCTGCCAGTGATTTCTGTCTGTCCATTTCCATTCTTGATGCCACCATCAGAGTAACTGCCTTACAACACCATCATCATCTAGTCCCTTTCTCCGGGGTGTTCAGTGACTTGCATGGCTTATAAGGCAAACTGTGAACTCCTGAGCATTTTCACTCACATATGGTCACTTCTTACTCCAGTAAATAACTGACTTTGAGCTAGATGGGCACTGTGTGAGGCTGTTGGGAATTAGGAAGTAGCAGAGGGCTTTGCCCTCAAGGAGGTCACAGTCTAATGGCTGGGCCGGACATACAGCCCATCACAGAATTAGTGTGGCAGTTCAGAGAATGGGGTGATAGACTCTGGTTGGATCTAGCAATATTTAGCAGTGGGAAACAGCATTTAAGCCACAAGGTGACAAGGAGTGAATAGGAGTATAGTCCCTTAGGTTAGAAGGGAGTGGCATTTAGGAAAGGAGATGGTGTGTGCAGAGACATAGAAGTGCCTTCACATGGGATGGAGTGAACAGTTGATACTGGGTGCAGGGGTAATGGGAGATGGAGCTGGGGGCAGAGGCCACACTGAAACGCACTGTGCACTGCTCTGGGGTCTGTAATGGAGTTCACAGGAAGCCTGAAGAACTTCAGGTGGTAGAGAAAGCTGTCAGTTCTGCAATGTAGGAAAATTCCTGTAGTTATGAGGATGGAGCACAGGGGAGCCACACCCAGCGGCAGGACTGTCATAGTGTGGCTTGTGTACCCTTCCAGAAGGGTGCCAGGAATGGGGGAGGGGGGATTGCACGTGGGTAGAGGCTATAAAGTGGACATTTGGTAGGAAGAGCCCAAGGAGTCAGACTGAAAATGGCTGCTGTGTGAGTGGTTGCTGTGTGCCCGGTACTGTGTGAAGTGCTTTGTATACACATTCTCATTCCATCCGTACACAGACTCCATGGTTCTGTTACTACCTTTATTTTACTGTTAAGAAACTTAGAGAAGTGAAGAAGCCTGCCCAAGGTTACATGCTAATCAGTGACTGAAATGGGCTTAACACTGACCTCTCTTTCTTATGCTCCACGGCTGTGGCCTGCAGCAGAAGGGGGAGGTGAATGAGAGGCCAGGTGGAGGGTGGTGCCCAGGTTCATTCAGGTAGCAGACGTCACAGGAAGAGCAGAGCGTGGGAACTACAGTGAACCCTTTTCTTGGCCATGTCGACTGCGAGCTGCCTGTGGAGCACTTTCTCGGGTGGAGACGCCCAGCGGCAGCAGCCACGCAGACCTGAGGGGCCAAAGGTAGAGATGGGGATTGAAGAGTGAGCCACACCATGCGTCAGCTGAGCTGTGGCAGGAACGATGTCCCTCTGAGGGTCTATGTCCATTGATAAGGTGGACCATGGACACTGGAGGCCCGGGCAGACGGTTCTCTGTCTCCTCCATGGGCCCCCTGACCACGTCCAGCTCCAAGTGACAGAAAGAGGCTACAGAAGCCAAGAAGGAAGCAGGCTTTGAGGAGGTGAAGTCGTAGATGTCACTTGCCATTCAGACTCACATGAGATGAGGACTGAAGGGGACTGTTGCATCTGGCAACTAAAACATAACTCTGACAGCCCTGAGAACTGTTCAGAGGGCTAGGGGAAGAGAGCAGGGCAGGGGAAGAAACGAGGCCTGGTGTCGGTTTTGAGAAGCTTGGCTGCGGAGGGATGGTGAATGGGCCGTGGGCCGTCGTTTGAGGCAGAGTTGAGGGAGGATCATTTTTAACATGAGAGCCTTTAGCATACTAAAGTATGTAAAAGTAACTTGAGAAGAAGCCAGCGAAGAAAGAGAATGAAGAAGGCAGAGACTGGGGACAGCAAGAGGGGGAGGAATTGATGTGCTCACATTCCTTGGACTTAGCAGGGACTGGAAGGGATTAAAGCTGGACAGAGGTAGCCACTGGGCATCACAGGGCCCATGGCCTTGGGCAGGTTCCTTAACCCTGAGGGCACTAGTGCCCACCTTGGAGAGTGCTTGCCTGGCACATGGTAAGAATTCAAAAATCCTACCACGTTGTTCTGTGCAAGTGTCGGTAGAGGGAGAAGCAGGGCAGACAAGTCTTGGCCGGCTTCTGTTTTCTCAGTCATGCTAAGGGAAGGGGTGAACATAAGAGGGGGAACTGCAGGAGACGGGGAACATCTATGACATCGGGGTGGGAATACTCGAAGATCTTAGTTACTCCGGGACAAGTCAGGGAAAGGTGGGCAGGGAGCTGGAAGGACAGACACATTGGAGGCTGAAATGTGCAAGTGTATAGTGGCGCTAGCAGACTGTTGTTATGAAACCAGGAAGCAGAATTTGGTTCGCATGTGGTTGTTGGAAGGAGCTCTCGTGGCCCAATGGTTAAGGTATTTGGCTGCTAACCAGAAGGTGGTGGTTCTAACCCACCAGCCACTCTGTGGAAGAAAAATGAGGCAGTCTGCTTCCATCAAGATTTCTAGCCTTGTACGTCTATGAAGCGGGGAGTGTACCCAAGAACATGTATAGGGTTGGCAGACAGTGGTCCTGTAAGTTTATGTGTATGATCTGAATTCCCAGGTGTATAGTAGAGTTGACAAGAGGCAAAGTAGTAGTCACTGCTTGGTCACAGCCAGCTACCCAGAGGGACCGAGTAGTTGAACCTGTGGGCTCGGGACCATAGTCGCAGGGGACATCAAGCCCAATTGGCATAACATACTACACAAAACAACATACTACACAAAACATTGTTCCACCTCCTACTTTGGTGAGTAGCGACTAGGTCTTAAAAGCTTGCAAGCTGCCATCTAGATGCAACAATGGGTCTCTCCTTGTCCAGAGCAAAAAAGAATGAAGAAAACCAAAAAATCATGGGAATAATTATTCCTAGCAACTGGTATGCCATCCAATCTTCAGCCTATACGACTGTGAGACCAGAAGAGCTAGATGGTGCCTGGCTACCAGTGTTAACTACTTGGAAGGGGATCTGTGTAGGAGATCCTGGATAGAGAGGGAGAACAATGTGGAACAAAACTCAAAATCATTTGGAGAAAAAAAACGGGGGGGCGGAGACCAGGTTTGCTGGTCCGATAGAGCCTGGTGGAACCACTGAGACTATGGCCCCTGGCTGCCCTTCAGGTCTGGAATTGAAACCATGCCTGTGGCTTCCAGCCAACAATAGACAGGTATGTGAGTTGAACATTTATTTACCTGAGGTAGATACCCTCCTTGGAGAGAACAATCATGGGAGAAAGAAGGGCTGCTTATGCACAGGGAGACAGCTCAGGGGGCAGAAGTCCATGAAGGAATGGACACAGGGGCTGCAGTGTGGTGTGTGGTTGTAGGGGCTGCAGTGTAGTGTGTGGTTGTAGGGACGGCAGTGTGGTGTGTGGTTGTAGGGGCTGCAGTGTGGTGTGTGGTTATAGGGGCAGCAGTGTGGTGTGTGGTTGTAGGGGCGGCAGTGTGGTGTGTGGTTGTAGGGGCTGCAGTGTGGTGTGTGGTTGTAGGGGCGGCGGTGTGGTGTATGGTTGTAGGGACTGCAGTGTGGTGTGACAGCTGTGCCTTTTTTCCTGCTTTCTGTCTGGAAGACCCTCTGCTTTCCCTTTCTGCACGTCTTTCCATCCTGCCGCTACAGGTCACGGCCCATCGGCAGGCACTCTCGATGGCCACGCCCTGGAGCCATGTGTTCATCCATCCTTTGAGCTTGTGAAGCTCCTGCCACATGTCTGGCAGTTGACAGAGCAGCACCTTGGTGTCCTTTCTTAGTTTTTTAAGCTCTTGTTCTCATTTCAGCTTTAACTGTGTATGCATCTTACCTACAATTAGATCGTAAGGGCAGTGAGTGTTCATTGTGCAGAAAATACTGAACGCTCTGTGTAGAACTTGGAGTGTGATAGGAAGAAAGCTGGAGAGAATTTTCTCTGTCTTTGTTTCAGCCGTTTGTAAAGAGCATGGGGAGAGGCCTTTGGGCCTTTTGATCCCTCACATTTTAGTTAAATGGACTTTTCCCCTTCTAGTGTGTCTTAATGCAGCCATATATTTGTATTGTAACAGTGTATATTTAATTTTTTGTTTTTTTATTACATTGTAAATATATTTCATGGTTGAAGCGACCTAACCTAACCATTTTTAGTAGCTGAATACCACTTCATGCAATGGAGGCACCGTACTTCCTTAGCCTATGCCTCTAAGATGGAGACACTCTTTCTACACTTTCATGTCATGTCCAGCGCTACCCACAACACCTTTGAGCATGTCACTTTTCCTCTCGGAATTAAGGATCCAGGGGTATGGACGTCTTAGTCTGTGCCCATAGAATGCCTTGTAAGGGGTGGGTGCAGCCATTAGTTAGGGATGACCTGAGTGAATTACAGCCTGTGATCAGAATGAACAACCCCTTCAGCACAGGGTCAGAGTGCAAGAGTTTCCAGGTTTGGGTTTTATTATGTTTATGAGCTAATTTCATGTCCTTTCAATTTTGTAAATCATCGTAAGACACATTTTATTCTGAGTTAGCCTCCTGTTAATGACTGAATTAGCCTTTTCTTAGTGGGGATGTCACTGCTTATTGCTTCCTTACCGTATGCTTTGAATAAATGTGCATTACTGTTTATTTGTAGGACTTGATTAGAGACCAAGGGTTTCGTGGTGATGGAGGTAAGTGGCGATTTCCATTTTTGAAAGAAACAAACACAGAAACTCGGGGAAAATGCAATCGCTTCGCTGCTTGTTCCTTTGATACTTGCTTTTTTCACAAAACACAGACACAGAGAGAAATGTGTAGAGAAACTGAAAGTTGTTAATATTTATCATTTATTGCTAATAAAGTTTGCACTAACTCATGACATGAGTAGCAAAGATGAGGGGACGTAAATTGGAGTCTTAAGTGTACACTCTGCAGTTTAAGAATACTGGACCAAGGGCAGGGCCTTCATTGTCCACCACACTTTATTAGTTCCCAGCCACCTTCAAAGGCAAGGGGTTACATGTCCTTTGGGAGCTTCCTCTAATATTTCCAGACTGAGCATAGAATCAGGTAAAGCTGACTCTCCCAGATCATGCAGCAAGGGAAGTTCCCTTGAAGTCCAGTTGCCTGTCTTGCCTTCTCAGTTGGTCAGATAGTGCTGACCCCTTCCCTTGAGCTTCTGGAAGAGTGTGCACTGCACAGTGTGCAGAGGGGACCCTGATGGAATCCCCTTCCTCTTACTAGTCCAGGAAAAAAGGAAGCGAGTGAGCAGCTGAGCAGAGATCCCCGCAGAGTGCCCTTCGGGCCCTCCCTCTGGCATTGGGAGAACCAGGGGCATGCACACTGCGCCCCAGAGAGGCTTTTTATAAGAATGTGTCCTGATGTTGTTTTCCAAGAGATGGGGTTGGAGAGAGTCTTGAAGCTGTCTTCCTGGAGGTCCCCTGTGCTCACCCTTCCAGGTGTCTCAGAGGAGGGAAGGCCTGGCATGACTGCTGGTCTCCCCCCCACCAGGGGTCTCTTCACTGGGACCTGCTTTATCTTGAGACTCTCTGAGCCTAGAACCACATTGTTTTATACTGAACACGTTGCACAGCCCATCCTGTGTTGTGTTTTTTGTACCACGTATGGAGCTCTGGGACGACACCTGCCATGTGTGCTGTATGCACTGCATGTGGGCGCACAGCCATCCAAGTCGTCGTGGTTGTTTTTGTGTTAGTCCGTGGACCTGCCAGTTAATGTTGCCACCGTGCCTTCCATATGTGTCAACAGCTATGGCTTGTGATAACTTGGCCCAGTACGTCCAGCATTTGAATGTGACCATTCTGTTAGCATCACGAAGTTAGCCTAGTAACTGCCTGCTGCATACATAAAATGAAGGGGCATTTCTTGCCCTTTCCGTAAGTCACATTTTAAAAGTCACTGGGATTTTATGAAAAGAATCAGATATTTTAGGCATCCAGGATTACTTTGTGAAGCAGCTTCAAGTCAGCATATTCACCCCCATGATTTCTTTCATTTCTTCTGTGTGTCTGTCCTCTGTGTTTGCCTGCCCCTCTCTTTCTCTTCTAACAGCCCCTTTGAACCAGCTGGCACGCTGTCTTCGGAAATGCCAATCCCGGACTCCCAGTCCCCTCCTCCATTCTGTCCCCAGTGCAGTAGTGTTTGATTTTGAGCCTGGCCCAGTGTTCCGAGGTAGTTGGGCTCTTCTTTCTTGTTTTCACCCAAGCCAACTAGATAGAAACCACGACGCTGTTTGTGCCTCACCCTCACGGCGTGTGTGTGCAGTGTGAGTGTGCAGTGCTGACCCCTGACTTAGCCTGGCTGGGGTGCCTTGAATGTGCTTCCCACATCCTCACCACAGCTTCTGTGTGCCGTCCATCACCAGCTGCACAGCAAGGAGGGCTGAGCTCAGAGCGCCATCTTGGTTTTTATCGTATTACTTATGTCTTGGTCTCGATAACTCTCAATTCAGTGGGTGGGAATAAATAAGGGGAGGGATCTTCCATCTGAATCCTGCCATTATTTTAGGTGAAAACTTTGACTGTTAATACTCATTATGATGGAAATCACTATTACATGAGATTTTACTGGGCTTTTGGCTTTTTGGGAGATTTTGTGATGTCAGCAGTATCCATTTTCCTCCTGAGGTGGGACAGGTTTATTTTGTCCTATGTCAACAGTAAGGAGATGTGAAAAAGACTTTTGGTGTATGTTTGGGTGTCTAGCATACCTCAGGAAAACCTGAGTTACCCATACCTTCATTTGTGCTCTAGGATGAGGGAAGAGGTGGTATGATTTCACCCTCCCGTTTCATCTTGCGATATTTCAATTGGTGATTTCGTTAATTTGTAAAAAAAATTGAAATCACAGTTGGGACAGATGTCTTGGTATACGTTTTGTCAGAGTTCTGTTCACTAACTTTGCTAGTTGTTCTGAATGTAGCAGTGAGGCTTGAGAGTCGGAGTGTTCCCTCAGCTGTCTTGGAAACCACAGAATGGAGTGGAAGCTGTGGGTACTGAGCAATATGGCTGAACTGAGTCCATCCAAGATGATGAAGCTTGGCCCAGAACTAAGGCTTTGTAACGCTGACCATGACCCAGGCCCGGCACAAGATGACTTGGCCTCGGGTCATGGGCAGCAGGGCCAGACTCCATCTGGGAGGTGTTCTTAGTGTTTGTCCCTTACGTTGAAGAAATTGTTGCTCTTCTAGACTCTGGGCCAGTGAACAAAGTATATATCTGTAATCCGATGTTTTGGTCCTGAATTTGCCAGAAAACTAAAACAAATTACAGTAGTAATCTCCAAATGAGGCCCCTTTTGGCCTGTCCTTTGAAAAGTCTGTATGGAACATGCCACTGCATTTTTGTAAATCTCCCTGTTCCTGCCCCAGATCAGTGAACATGGCTGAGCCTCCCTTAATGGGTACTCTTGTCCTTCCACTAACTTAGGATCGACCGCAGGCTTGTCGGCCACGCCCCCTGCATCACTGCCTGGCTCCCTCACTAACGTGAAAGCCTTACAGAAATCCCCTGGGCCACAGCGTGAGAGGAAGTCCTCGTCCTCCTCCGAAGATAGGAATCGCATGGTAAGATGTGTGCTGACCACTGGTCTCCAAGTTTGTTCTTTATGGGAGCCCTAGCCAGAGGGCAGGTCTGTGCTGGACTTTTAAGTATGTTGACGTGTCCACATGTGGCACGGAATTCCCATAATCAAAGAACTTTAAGAGCTGATGGTTTTTTGCTTAAAGCATGTTCCCACAACCCTGATATTTTATCTCTTCTCTAATTTAATGGAGGACAGGGTACTTTGAGAAGAGTAGAATAGCATTCAGCTTCTCAAATAAGGAAAACATGGGTGAGTCGGTGTCAGGAACAGTATTTAAGCCAGTGTGTCCCAAAGGGCTGGTCTAAGATGCAGATACCTGCACAAGGACATGCTTACCTATTAAAAATGGAACTTCATGCTGCAAAAGGAATCTGTATTTAAAAACTAAGCAGTTTAGCAGCAGTGTATGTTGGCTAGGGGGCTGCCAAGTGACTGTATATGTTGGTCATTTTTTTCTTGAGAATGGATCAGATAAGATAGATACGGAAATTTCACATTGATCAAGAGAGAGCATAATTAGACAAGTTATCAGCAGTTACCAGAAGATGGTGATTTAAATTTGGGGTCTTTTGGTTTAAACTTCATTATAAATACATGCTGCTTACCTTGCCCACATGGTCTCCATGTGATCCAGAGCTAATTTATTTCACTGATCTTAGTCATATATGTTTCTGCTTATACCCAGTAAACAATTTCCATTTTTTAGTAAATTGTGTCTGTCCTAATATTGACTTAGGTCTTAAATTTAAATTTTTTGTATTTTCAGACTCGTGCTTTTAACTATTACTCCTCAAGAGGGTGTTTTTTTTTTAAAAGAGATCTGGTTCTCTTCTGAACTTGTATCCCTTTTAGTCATAAGGGAGACACTTTTTATGAAAGGTAAGGGCTTCCTTTTTTGTTTGACTTGGTTTGACTTTTGCACCGTTTTTATCAAGAAAACCCTTGGCAGGCGAGATTCAAGTGACGATTGGGAGATTCCCGACGGGCAGATCACCATTGGACAGAGAATCGGCTCCGGATCGTTTGGAACCGTCTACAAGGGCAAGTGGCATGGTATGTATGTGACACCCTGACCGTGGTGGGTCCGTAACATGCTGACGTCCGCCAGGGCGCATTGATCGATGTAGAGAGGAGGAGCCTCAGCCACAGGAGGCCCAAGTGACTACTCTTTCTTTTAAAGGCCTTCTTGCTAAGAATTGTATTTGTGTTGTAAACCATGAGTAAACCTTTGAAATGTATACTTATCAGAGGAAGAGATCCCAGTGGCCAGCAAGTGCATAAGCAGTCCCAAGCCACACGAGTTACCCAGCGAGAGCAGGTGTGAAAATAGACGTTGGTGTCTCTCAAAGATTGTCAAAACCGGGCAGTGATGATGGTAATCCTGCTGGTGATCATAATGATGCTTTCTGAAGTGCTATTTGTCCAGAACTGCCAAACTAGCAGTTCCATCTGCAGGACTTGGTCATGAAGACGTAATCGGACAGCAGCAAACAGATGTGTATGCAAGTAAATTGATCATAGAGTTCAAAATAATAAAAATGGGTAAACTTAGTACCCATTTCTAGACAAGTAGAGGAATTGATGCCTTCGGATATGCTTATTGTAGAGGTGTTACAGTGGTGAGTAGGTCTCTACTTAGTGAAATGGAAGGTGTCTGTTGTAGTTTAAGCTTTATAAAGCAGCTTGTACAACATCCCGTGTTATAGTGCTGCACAGAGTATCACATGATAAAGTGACTGCGTAGTTGAGTACAGTTCTTCTCTGGTTCTCATTGTATTTGTGTTCATAAATATTCACATTGCTTCCATATAAGAGCCTACAGGGATGTACATGATGGTGTTAACAGTGATGAGTGACATGGCTAAGGCAAGCTTTTCAGTTTTTGTAGTGAGCATTGTGTTACTCTGATAATCAGCAGTAATGGATTGGTTCATTGCACTTTTTCTTGAAGTGTAGTAATAAGCGTACAGAAAAGCATATACATCATGAGCATCCACATAGCCAAAGTCTCATGCAGGGTGCAGCCTGGACTGATGGACTGCGTCACCAGCGTTGTAGAGGCCCCTTGTGCCCTCTTCCATCCCTGTCCCCCATAACCGCTGTCCCCGCCCAGCTGGGGTCAGGCACAACCCACTCGTCGTGGCTGGCCTCTCTCACTCAACCATGTCGGCCAGCAGCATCTGGGTTGTGTGTGTGTGTCGGGGCTTCACCCTCAGGACTGTCACGTGCCATGGAACGCCGGTACGTGGTTGCTTGTTCTACCCTGCTCTGTGAGAGGCTTCTGGAAAGTGTCCGGTTTGGGGCTGCCATGAACAGTCCTGCCACGAGGATTCTTGTATGCGTCCTTCCGGTTTGGGGCTGCCACGAATGGTGCTGCCATGAGTGTTCTTGTATGTGTCCTTTGGGGAACCTGTGTGTCCGTTCTGGGGAGGATGTGCCTAGGGGAGAAATGTGAGGCCATGGGAGATGCACATGTTCGCTGTTGGTGGATACTGCCGCCAACTGTTGAAAGTGGCTATGCCAGTGCACACACCCACTGGCAGGTTTCATTAAAATCCTAGTTATAACTTCAGTCATTCTCCTAAACAAAAGTACCCTGAGTGATCCATGGAGTTAAAGATGTGTGAACTGTTCTGATAAAGAAGTTTTGCAGTTTTTATTTAAAACCAGACACTGCTGGGTCTGTCGTCTGTAGTTTCAACCTCCACTTAATAAAGGCATCAGATTTAATGTTAAATAACCAAAGTCCTTAACTGGTTCAACTGCATTACCAGGAACAAGGTTGGCGGGTTTTTGGGTTGATGTTTTGAAATACTTATATAGGACTGTCACCGTGGTTGAGTTTTAAATTCATAGAAAACTAATGCATTTGAGAGAGTTAAAGGTATAATTTATTTGCAGTTTCATAGTAGTATGGATGTAGGGCTATTGTAAGTTTTTTTTTTAAATACCCAAGAATTTGTCATATTTTTAAATTTTAAAAAATTGTTGGAGTGACAGTTGAAATGACAATTGCCTTTCAGGTGATGTGGCAGTGAAGATGTTGAACGTGACAGCCCCCACACCTCAGCAGTTACAGGCCTTCAAGAATGAAGTAGGGGTACTCAGGTGAGTGTACAAACAAGTGTGTTTCAGAGAAAGACAGCAGTGTCGCTGCCGTGGTTGTCCAGGGCGGCCTCTTAGCCTCACAGAGCGACTCAGTGGAGAAGTACCTGGAAACGGAGCTTCTCTGAGCATAGTGTGTCTTAGTCCCGCTCTTCCAGTAACTGCTTGATGGGTGTAATCTTGAACTGAATGAATAGAAATGTAGTATCCTGGCCATAAGAAACCATAGTGCCTTCTGTGGGAGTAATCCTCTCAAAATTGTAATACTCAAAAGTGTACTGGAGACATTGAGAGATTTATTGAGGCCTGGGCCCTGGGATTGAGAAATAAACTAGACTATGTCAGGGAAGGGCCACCTTGAAGGGGATAATTCTAGAACCATGACTGAGAGGGAAGGAAACTGGCTGACTGAGGACACACAGTCCAGAACAGAGTGTTAGGCAGATTTTCACATCCCCATGGAATCCAGACTTTCTGCAGCCACTAAAGCTAGGTGACCACCACCACCCCACAATCCCACACACAGGAGTGCACTGAAATAGTCTTTCAACCTAAACCCAAAATATCCCCTGAAGTCTTCTTTTGCTTAATTAGTGAGGAATGTCTGGCTTGAGCACTGTGCTCTTGTTAAGAACTGTGGATCTGGGATCACATGGACAAGAGCTGCTCATGATGAGTCGAACCTTAGGGAGCAGTGAGTGTGTGTTAATGCAGGAGGCATAGCTGAGCAGAGGAGGACATCATCAGTGTCGCTGATATGTACATGTAGAAATGGTTGGATGTTGTATGTTCTACTGTATATATATTCAACAACAAAAAAAAATTAAAAAGGAAAAAAAAAAGGCTGTTATGTTCAAGTGGGTTAGGGTTAGGATTAGGGATGGAATAAGGCACTCTGGTGGCACAGTGCCTAAGGCATTTGACTGCTAACCAGAAAGTTGGGGGTTCAAACATACCAGCCACTTTGCAGAAGGAAGAATGGGCAGTCTACTTCCATTAAGACTGACTACCTCAGAAACCCAGAGGGGGTTACTATGAGTTGGAATCAACTTGATGGCAGTGAGTTTGGTTTGGTTTTTTGGTTTTAGGGTTGGGTTAGGTGGGACAGGGAAGCAGGTGGTAAAAGTTCAGGTTAGGGTTAGGGCCGGGCTAGGCAGGACGGGAAGGTGGTGGTGAAAGGTCGGGTTATCAGGACGGGAAGGCAGTGGTGAAAGGTCGGGTTAGGGTTAGGGCTGGGTTAGCAGATGGGAAGCCAGTGGTGAAAGGTGTGCGAAAGTGATTTTGCCTCCACCCAAGACACCGTTCTAGTTAATGGAGCCACTGAGCACGGGGCTGCCCTCTTGGTAGTGAACTTCCCATTATGGAAGGTATCTAAGCACCTTCCAAGGGCCTCTTTGTCAGGTGTGTGGGAAACCTGTGTCTCAGCAGAGTGAGAGGTTCGACTGGACAGTTTCTGAAGTCTCTTCTAAATTTGTGCTTTTGTTGCTTTTCTTTCTTTTTTTTTTTTTTTTTTAATATTTTTCTGAAACATCTTCCTCATAGATAGGCTCCCTTTGCCCTCTCTTTAAAAAGAAGTTGCTGGATTTTGTGAGCTTTTTTATTTGCTGTCGTGTCTTGTTTTACAGGAAAACACGACACGTGAATATCCTCCTCTTCATGGGCTACTCAACAAAGCCCCAGCTGGCTATTGTTACCCAGTGGTGTGAGGGCTCCAGCCTGTATCACCATCTCCACATCATCGAGACCAAGTTTGAGATGATCAAGCTCATCGACATTGCACGGCAGACTGCACAGGGCATGGAGTAAGTTCCATTCTGTTTGTCTCCTCTCAGTTACTTCTGGACTATTCTCTTGGATAACATTTCAAACTGAGCTGTCCGGCAACATATGGGCACTTTTAGTGACTACCCATGTGACATTGAGAATTAAAGTTGTCTTCTGCTAGTGCTGTCTTCAAAACATGCATCACGTATTTGTTAGTAAGTGTGTGACCAGAAATTGATGTCTTGCATGTAATGATTTAACAAAGCAGTAAAGCTTCAGAAGGCAAAAACAACACCAACAGCACCAGTGGTTGTTGGCACACACAGAACGTTTGCTACATAGTCACCCTTTGAGCCACTTTATTGCAGAATGGTCAGTTAAGAAAAGTAGGTGAAAATTTGCATTTTGATCCTTTTTGAGGATTTCAGATCAAGTTGTTCGTATCTGTTGAATATCTGTTACTAAAAGATAATTAGTTTAGAAGACTTACCACGGGCTGAGAGGGGGGCTGACTTAGAAGACTGACCTCTGTGTGTGACTCTCCATGCAAATGAGTAAGTAGATGAAAGGGAAACATGTTTTGAAAGTGCTTAGATGAGAAACCTCAGTGAATCTGAGTAACACATTAATTTGAAAGTGCTTGGAGTAGTTAAAAATATGAATTGTGAGTGAATGTAACATTTTGGAGTATACAAATTACTTTCCCATGGAATTTCTTATGTCATTTAATTGTCACAATGTTGTGACGTAGGTGTTTTTATCTTCTTTCTGCACATAAGTGAAATGAGGCTTCTTAAGTGCCTCAGTTAGGCTGCCTTTAGTAAGTGCAGCACAGGTGTTACCCTCAGGATTGCTGGCTGCAGTCCAGGGGCCGTTCCTGTAACCAGCATGCCACACTGGTGTGCTGCCACACTGGTGTGCTGAAGTTAGACTAGAAGCATGAGCTAATGCAGACACACGAACACCAAACACCCCGACCCAGGCCCAGCAGTTCAGCGCGTAGGTGTTGAAGCAGGACTGGAAACCCTTCATTTCTCTGTGTTCCCAGACGAAGTGATAGGTCTGTATTTGAGATGCTTTACAAGCCTGCAGTCGGCCAGCTTACTTATTTTAGCAAATCATGGACTCATTCCAAACGTTTGCACTGACTCACTAGACTTCAGACAACCTCGATTCTCCAGATAAGTTAGCATCTGAATCTGGAAGATTCTATTAAAATCTTGTGAAGAGTAAACTCTGGCAAAAACAGCAACGCCTAGAAGGAAGCTGTTCTGCTCCGGTCCGTCTGGTCTCTGCTGTTTCCTCAGCAGGCCTGGTGGGTCCTCTTTAGGGCCTTAGGCTTGCCACTTCTTTGGGACACTTACGCCATAAATATCCACAAGGCTTCTGCCTTATGGCTCTTTAAAATGTTACTCTTAAGAAAAGCTTTCTCTGATCACCTTATGTGATTAACATGGGCCCACCCCACCTTGACCCCCTCTGTATCTCTTATGCTTGTTCTTCCCCATAATGCCCACTTCCAGGTGACGTGTCTGTTCATTGTCCATCACCCCCAAGAACATCCACCATGTGAGGGCTTTTCACTCTCGTATCTCCAGTGCCTAGAGGGGAGGCTGGCCAGTGATCAGCCTCAGTACCTGTCTGTTAAATGAGAAAGCCTGCATATCAAGCAGAAGCTTACCTCCTAGAAGAAAAAGCAGCCAGAGCCTTGTCATCTCAAAGCTGAAGAACATCAGGGAAAGGGACGGTGAACAGTGATAAAAGGGAAGAGGCTTTTGCATAGACACAGGTAGCAGTGAATGGTACTGTTTGTTTCTAGAAACAGCTGTGTCAGAGGGGCGATGAGTGCAGAGTTGATCACAGTAGGCGGTGGCGGGAGAGACACCCCGTCAGCTGGAGGAGCTGAGGAGCTCTGTCAGCAAAGGGGCTGTGCTTCCCGTCATGACGGTGTGCGATCCACAGCGCAGACCCTCAGTCAGTGCGTCTGCTCCAAGATGCTGCTTCCGTTGGTAGGGAGCTTGCCCTGTAGGGAGGATGCCTGTCTGGGAACATGGATCACCCACCATGTTTATCTTAGACTGTGATAGCGGAAAAAGTTTTAAATGTCATTTTAAGCCTTCTAGCAGAGTCCCAGCTCTGGTGGTACATTGGTTAAAGCATTCAGGTGCTAACCGGAAGTCAGTGGTATGAACCCAACAGCTGCCCTGCAGGAGAAAGATGAGGCCATCTGCTTCCATAAAAATTGACAGTGTTGGAAACCCTATGGGCAGTTCTACTCTGTTGTCCTAGGGGCACTATGAATTGGAATGGACTCCAAGGCAGTGGGTTTGGTTTGGTCTTTGCTTCCATAGATTGACAGCCTTGGAAACCCTGTGGAGCAATTCTGCTCTCTACTGCAGGGGCGTTATGAGTTGGAATCAACTTGATGACAGTGGGTTCGCTTTTGGTAGCAGAGTCCTTGAGTGGTGCATGCAGTTGGTTAAGCTCATGGCTACTACTAAAATAACAACAATACTTGCGTTAACTAGTCTTCCTTATACCAAACCAAACTCACTGCCGTCGAGCTGGATCCAACTCATAGCGACTCCTCCTTGGGTTTCCAAGGCAATATCACTATGAAAATAGATTTCCCAACCTTCCTTCTGAGGAGTGGCTTGTGGGTTTGAACCACCAGCCGTCTGGTTAGCAGTCAGATGCCTTAGGCACTGTGCCACCGGAGCTCCGGCCTTCCTTACAGGCATATGGATATTGCCATATTGTCCTATCACTGACAGCATTGTACTTCAGGATAGATTGTGAACTGTTCTTTTTGACGATGAATCCGATGCCGTTCTCTTCGTCACTCCTAGGACAGTAGACCATATATGACTCTAATTCAAAATGGCCGACACCAGACCATTTCAGCCCACTGGTACCCAAGATATCAGTCTTTGAGGGTTTCATTTCATTTTTGAGAACTTCCAATCTTCCTAGTTTCATACTTTGTACATTCCACGTTCCGATTATTAATGGATGTTTGCAGCTGTTTCTTCCCACTTTGAGTCATGCCCTGTCAACAAATGATGGTCCCAAAAGCTTTACTCCATCCACGTCATTAACGTCACCTGTACTTTGAGGAGGCAGCTCTTCCCTAGTTGTATTTTGACTACCTTCCAACCTGAGGGGCTCATCTTCCCTCACTATATCAGACAGTGTTTCCCTGCTATTTATAAGGTTTTCAGTGGCCAACTTTATTTTTCAAAAGTCAACCTGACCCCGTCCTTCTTCCCAGTCTGTCTTAGTCTGGAAGCTCTGCTGTTCACCATGGGTGACCCTGCTGGTATTTGAAATACCAGTGGCATTGCTTCCAGTACCACAGCAACACGTCAGCCACCACAGTACAACAGACTGACAGGCAAGTGGTGGATGATTACTAGGACTCTGAAATGTGTCGCCATCAGTGGGTTATAGAATAGAAGCAGACGGTGGACCGCTGATGTTTCTCCTGGCTTGTTCAGTCTCTTCCTAGCACAGTGAAGTCAGGGGTGCACCTGATGAGGGCAGAGCGATTGCAGTGGTAAACAGCGACAGGAGGCTCCAAGCAGTCAGACGTTGCCTCAGCTGACGGGCCAAAGTGTTTTAAAAGGATATTGCTACTGAGGAAATTCCAGGCATCGGAACCCATCACACCATTTCTTTATAGGACTTTTCAATTTCAGTGTAATATTTATGGCATCAATTTTAATTTAGCTTTGTGAGAATTTTACTGAATGTGAAACTAAGGAGGACTGTAGAGAAAGATATTGCTCTAACAGTCACAAAAGTATTATGTTCTGAAAATAGATTGCTTCAGAGGAATTTTGGGATAAATCCTCAGAATTTATTTCCTTTCATCATGAAAAGCGTACCTCCTTTACTCATGAATGAACCCCCTTAAAATACAGATACAGGGCCAAACGGGGGCTGAGGAGAGGGTGGGTACCCCGTTAAAATACAGATAGAGGGTCAAACGGGGACTGAGGAGAGGAGGGTGGGCATGAAGTTAGTGATTGAGAACAGTATTTCTGGTTGGTCAAAGAGTGGTGAATGATGTGGTGAATGATGACTCGGACTTTGAAATGTGTCACCGTCAGTGGACTATAGAATAGAAGCAGATGGTGGGCAGCTGACGTTTTTCCTGGCTAGTTCAGTCTCTTGATTTTCTGGTGGATAAAAACTGTCCTAGGAAGGATGGTGCTGATGGTCATCAGAGAAATATCAGCAAATCTACTTGCATAGTGATACCGCCTCGGAAACCCAAGGAGGGGTCGCTATGAGTTGGGTCCGACTCCACGGCACATAACAACAATAGGATCAACAAACGCTGACATTCTGACGAGGTCAAGTGTTCGATTAGAACCAGGGATTTACTCCTGGAGCACTCTGATGCAGCTCCCACCTTGGGAAGTGGAGAATGACTCGTCTACCCACAAGGACAGGAGCTGGTGTTCCAAGAGAGGGGGTACTGGGACATTTATTATAGGAAAACATAAAGAACTGGAAATGTAACGGTCCATCAGTAGAGGACCAGATCGGTAAAATCCCAGGGCACACACGGTGGAATAGGACACAGCAGTGTTGAATGCTTTCACACACATAGCTAAGCAACGACCACTCTGAAAAGCTGGACAGGTACAGGTAGGCGGACAGAACTACACTACCAACTGTATACAGGTTTGGCAGAGGGTATTTCTGCATATGTATTTGTATGTGGGGAGCTCCAGTGGCATAGCACCTAAGGCATTTGACTGCCAACCAGAAGGCCAGCGGTTCAAACCCACCAGCCACTCTTCGGAAGGAAGACTAGGCAATCTACTTCCGCAGCGATACCATCTCGGACACCCAAGGAGGGGTCGCTGTGAGTCGGATCCGACTTGACAGCAGTGAGTTTGGTATTTGTATGTGCTATAAATATGTCTATGTATATGGAAGAGCAAGCAAGGGGCAAAGCCATGGAATCTTGTTAGCCATGACAGAGCACCCTGAGGTAGTGAGTCACTAGGCTTGGGGGCTTAGGACC